CAGGTTGCAGGCTCGATCCCCAGTGTGGGGTGTGCGGGAGGCAGCGGATCAATGGTTCTCTCTCATCAGTGATGTTTCTCTCTCTCTCTCTCTCTCTCCCTCGCCCTCTCCCTTCCTCTCTGAAATCGATAAAAATACATTAAGAAGAAAAGATGCTGAGCGTGAGGCCTGTAGCAGGTGCACTTGAGACGCAGCCCGTCCTCCTCAGCCGTCCTACAGGGGCCCTGGCTTCACGCTGTGGTTTTGCTGGAATGAAACATGAAAACAGTCAGGCTCCGGCAGGCGGGGACTCCTGGCGCCGTGTGGGGAGACGGGACAGGATGGGGCGGGGTGGGGGTGAGGGTGGGGGTTGGGGGGCACAGAGGGCAGGAGCATGGGCGGCTCCTTTGGCCAAGGATGGAGCCCTCAGGGGCAGCAGGGGCAGCAGGGGCGTGGCTGCGGCAGCGGAGGCAGGAGCAGCGGAGGAGGATGAGGGGCCTGTGCCTGTGACTGTGCGGGAGGCAGAGTGGCCGTGGGGAGGGGAGAGGGCCCTGTCCTGTGTGAGCTCACAGCGCAGCGAGGCCTGGGGCGTGTGAGGGGCAGCCGCCCAGAGGACAGACGGAGCCACCCCTGAAGCATTTCTGCCATCAGGCGGTGCATCCTGGAGACGCTCAGGTTACCCCCCAATCCCCCCCTACCCCCCACCCCCACCCCCACACACACACACACACCCGCACAGGGCGGTGAGCAGGAGGCCCGGCTGCAGGGAGCCGGCGTCTTCTATGAGCAGATGGACAGACCCTCCGGGAACCACAGGACAGACACTGTTTTCTCCACCTTCTATTTAAAAAGATGGAAGCCCTAGTCGGCTTGGCTCAGTGGACAGAGCGTCGGGCCATGGACTGAAGGTTCGATTCCAGTCAAGGGCACATGCCCAGGTTGCGGGCTTGATCCCCAGTGGGGGGCGTGCAGGAGGCAGCTGATCCATGATTCTCTCTCATTGGGGTTTCTATTTCTCCCTCTCCCTTCCTCTCTGAAATCAATACAAATATAATAAATAAATAAGATGGAACTTGAGGTCAATAACCCTTGGGCGCCGTTCACCAGAGACAGGAAGTGAGAGCTGAGCCTGAGAACGGCCTCCCCCCAGGCCCGCCCTCTCACCCTGATGCTCCCAGCCCCGCAGCTGCGCCCTTCCCCACAGTGACCCCCGCCGCCCCCTCAGAGGATCTGCCAACGGCCGGGCCGGGCGCCGGCCCGCGGGCCCGCAGCGGGGGCGGGCGGAAATGCCTGCACAGCTCTGCTCCCTGTGCCCTCTGCCGGGGCCTGGTTTCCTTCCAAAGCTCTTGGCGGAGCCACAGGTCAGCTCCCTCAGGGGAAACACCTGCCGCCCGGCGGGCCCGCGGCCGCGGGAGGGCAGCCCACGCCGCTGCTCCTCCTCCGGGGCCTCTGAGGGGCTTCCTCCCGGGGCCGAACGCCCCAAACTAAGCCAGGGACCCGAGGTGCTCTCCCCACCGGCACCCACATACACCCTCACAGCAGGAGCCATAGGAGGAAGGGAGCGGGGGCGGGGGAGGGGGTGCCAGCTCAGGGCCCCACGGGCAAGGCCCTAGCTCAGCTCTGGGCCGCAGCCGTGGCCAGGAAGCCCGCGTGGTGAGGGCAGCGTGGGAGCCAAAGGCAGCGCGACCTGCTGCGGGGAGCGCACAGACTCACCGCGCCGGGTTCTGGCGGGGCCTGGCCACGGGTTCTGGCGGGAACCGGCGGGATGGAGGCTGGCTGGCACCGCGCCAGAGAGGGGCTGGAGGAGCCGGACGTCCAGCCGGAGAGGAGGACCCTGAGCTGGAGGACTCACTCCCCCAGGGACGGGATGGGCCGTGCAGACCAGAAGACGGGCCACGACGACAGCCAGCGGGATTCCGTCCCTACTGTGTGCCCAGCGCCATGCTCGCTGCTTCCCATAGGTTTCCGTTTCTTTCTCAACGCCAGTCCCACTGTGCGCGTTTGTTCTTCCCAGTCCGCAGGGAGGCTCGGCGCTTTGCCCGAGACCACGAAGTGGGGGCGTCCGGCGACCGGGCGGCCTGACTCCGTGCCGCCGGGCCCGTGTCCGTGGGCCTCACAGAGGGGGGAGCAGCGTGGGAGCTGGGGGGGAGCGGGCAGCACCTGGGGGTGTCAGCGGAGAGCACGGGCTGAGGGGCTGCACACGCTGCAGAGGGAGAGCAGAGGGCCCAGAGGGGCGCACAGCCGGCCCCGCAGGGCACATGACGGCGGCAGCACCAGGGACGCTGTGAGGAACACAAACCCCAGGGAGCCTGGTGGATCGGAAACGTGTGTGAACAACCAGGAGCGACTCCGATCCCCGCCCAGGGGGGCGCTGCTGGCGTGGAGGCCTCCGCACCGGCTGTGTCGTCCTCCCCTCCGCCCTCAGGCTCCACAGGAGCGGATAGAGATGGGCTGTCAGCCCGGCCGCGTGGCTCCGAGGCTGAGCATCGACTATGGACCAGGAGGTCCCGGTTTGATTCTGGTCAGGGCACAGGCCCGGTTGTGGGCTTGATCCCCAGTGTGGAGCTTGCAGGAGGCAGCCGATCCATGGTTCTCTCTTATCATTGATGTTTCTATCTCTCTCTCCCTCTCCCTTCCTCTCTGAACCCAATAAAAATATTTTTTAATATTTTATTTATTTATTAAATATATTTTATTGATTTTTTACAGAGAGGAAAGGAGAGAGCTAGAAACATCGATGAGAGAGTAACATCGACCAGCTGCCTCTTGCACACCCCCTACCGGGGATATGCCCTCAACCAAGGTACATGCCCTTGACTGGAATCGAACCCGGGACCTTTCAGTCCACAGGCCGACGCTCTACCACTGAGCCAAACCAGCTTCGGCAAAAATATGTTTTTAATATATGATTTGACATCCAACTCTCAGAGTTCCTTTTCATGTGGAACATTTACAGTAAGACCTTGAAAACAGTATGTCTGTTTTTTGTTGTTGTTTTTTTTGCTTTTTGTTTAAATATATTTTATTGATTTTTCACAGAGATGAAGAGAGAGAGATAGAGAGTTAGAAACATCAATGAGAGAGAATCATCGATCAGCTGCCTCTTGCACACCCCCTACCGGGGATGTGCCCGCAACCAAGGTACATGCCCTTGCCCAGAATCGAACCCCGGACCCTTCAGTCCGCAGGCCGACGCTCTATCCATTGAGCGAAACCGGTCCAGCAGTATGTCTGTTTCTAAATTGTGTTATCAGACTTGGTAGCTAGACAGCCGCGTCTGCCAGGACATCTGGGGGCTCGGGGTCAGTGTCCAGTGCGCCCACCAGCACGCCCACCGGCACCCGGTGTCCCGGCCGCGCCCGCAGCTGCCCTGCGCTCCCTGTGCCTGCTGGCTCATGTTGTTCTCAGATCGGAAGAACGCTCGCCCGGCCGTCTGGAATCCTGCCTCCGTCCAAAGCTCAGCGCAGGTGTCACTCTGCCCCGAGACCTCAGTGACCAGCACACACTGCAGCCCCCGCTCCTCCTCCCGTCCTTGGGTCCTCGCGCTTCGGGGTGCTCAGGCCCGGGAGCCTCTGCCCGTCGCTGGGGGGGCCCTCTCCACAGAGCTAGCTCCCCTCAGAGCGCGGGCGCCGGCCACACAGCCCCTCGCACTCCTGCCCCACGGGGAGTGATCGAAAGCAGCGTTTACAGTGCCAGGCGTCTTCAAACTACGACCCGCGGGCCACATGCGGCCCGCAGAGGAGTCTGACCCGGCCCGCCAGGTTTTTTGGGCAGTGAGCGCAGCCGAGGTGTTACAGTAGGAATTAGTAGTTCATATAGTCCGGCCCTCCAGCTCTCTGAGGGACCGTGATCTGGCCCCCACTTTAAAAAGTTTGAGGACGCCTGGAAACTTTACACCATCGTGCCTGCAGCTGCTGCAGGTGGACAGGCGCTGCACGGAGGCTGGGAGGCCGCCGTGGCTCCACCTGGAGCCCCGAGGTCTTTGCAAAGCTGTGAGGGTTCTGCAGCCACAAGTGAGAACACACGGTCGCCTGCGGGTGCTCAGGCGGCCCCACCCTCCGCACCGGCCGCCTGTGGCTTCACTGCCCCGCCCTCAGGGCAGCCAGCCTCCGGGGGGCGAGAAACCGAGAAGCCGTGCCTGTGACCATGCAGGGGCAGCAGTAAGAACCGGTTACCAGAAGCCAGCCCTGCTTAGTACCCTGTTTCCCCGAAAATAAGACAGTGTCTTATATCAATGTTTTCTCCCAAAGTTGCGCTAGGTCTTATTTTCGGAGGATGTCTTATTTTCGGGGGAACACGGTAGTTGATGTCTATGCGGCCGCGTGCCCTGCGGGCTGCGGGGAACGGGCCCCAGGGCCAGGAGGGTGAGGGCCCCCGTGAGGCACAGAGCAGGCCCCTCCGCACAGCGGGACAGTGGCTCTGGGTCCGGCGGGAACACGGCCCCAGCCACTCCGGGACAGCCCTCGGGCTCCGGGACCAGCTCCGCTGGCGCGCACGACAGGTGTCTGCTCCCGGGGGCGCTGGGTCCCCTCGGCCTGAGCCCGGCCGGGCCTCGTGACGTTAGATCCAGATCGCTCCTCGCTCCTCCAAAGGGGACAGTCCTAGGGCCTAGAAGTGTCCCCGCCACCTCCCAGCCACTGACCACAAGGAGGAGGACAGAACAGACGTGGGCGAGGGGTCACATCATGCCCCGCTCCCGCTCCGAGCAGGACCATCTGGGTGCCCCCCCTCCTGCCTCCCGTCCTCCTAGGATCCCGCCCTGCCCTCCACGTCCCACTCCGCGTGCAGCAACACCTTCTCTCGGGGGAAGACGCGGCCCTTTCTCGCCGTGAGACACAGACTGTCCTCACATCTCCTGGTTGCTCCGTGATGTCTTATCAAGTGACAAATGTGCGGCTCCCGAGGCGAGAGGACCATTTCCAGGGTGGTTTCCTCACCCTCGCAGGCCCGTCGTCTGTCTCTGACACAAGGGAAAGGGAGAGGAAACGGAGAAAGCAACCGAGGAGGAGGAGGGAGGGAGAAAGCGTCACCGTGGCGGTGGAGGCAAGAGGCAGGAAGACCCCTGATGGCTTAAAAAAACCCAAAACCCATCCTGCGGTTTCCAGAGATCACAGATACCAGTAATGAAGGCAGAGCAAGGCCGGAAGTGAGAGGGGGTTTTAACAAGACGAAGAGCCGGGCGAGCTGAGCGCGCATTCAAGTGCTCCCACCAGAGCCGCCAGCCGGAGCCGGGGAGCGTCTGTGCGAAGGTAAAGGGGCCCCAAACCTGGCCCGGCCGGAGCGGGCACGGGGTGGGCGGTGGCACGGCTGCTCCGGCAAAGGCAGGCTCCCCGGGGCCGCGGAAACCAGGCGAGCGCACTCCTGTCAGGGATCAGGCCTCCGGACACGTCCCTCACGTGGGAAAGAACCACGCGGGGTGCTCTGGGAGGGAAATCGGGTGAGCGCTGGGAGTCACCGGCCTGATGGAGCCGACATCCTTCCTCCTGCTCTAAAACCTCCTGGCACTTGTGTGGTCCAGGACTCACGGGGGGCAAATCACAAAGGTGATTCTTTTTATCAACAAAAAAGAGAGAGTTGCCGAAACCGGTTTGGCTCGGTGGATAGAGCGTCGGCCTGCGGACTGAGGGGTCTCGGGTTCGATGCAGGTCAGGGGCATGTGCCTTGGTTGCGGGCACATCCCCGGTGGGGGGTGTGCAAGAGGCAGCTGACGGATTATTCTCTCTCATCAGTGTTTCTAACTCTCTATCCCTTTCTCTTTCCCTCTGTAAAAATCAATACAAAAATAAAAGAATTAAAAAAAGGAGATAGTTGTGCCTGGCCCGCATGGCCCAGTGGTTGAGCACTGACCTGTGAACCAGGAGGTCCTGGTTCGATTCCCGGTCAGGGCACAGGCCCGAGTTGTGGGCTCGATCCCCAGTGCAGGAGGCAGCCAATCAATGTGTCTCTTTTATCAGTGATGTTTCTCTCTCTCTCTATCCCTCTTTCTTCCTCTCTGAAATCAATAAAAATATATATTTTTAAAAAGGAACTAGTTACTTAAGGCAAGTTACCAGCATTGATCAACTCTCCCCTGGACTCCTCAAAGCCTGGACAAGCCACTGGGCTCCCTGGGCTGGGAGCCGGCCTTGTGAGGCACCTCTGAGGGAGGCACACCCCCCAGATGTGTGCTCTGGGGGAGCCGTGTGCTCTGGGGGAGACGTGTCCTCTGGGGGAGCCGTGTGCTCTGGGGTAGCCGTGTCCTCTGGGGGAGCCGTGTGCTCTGGGGTAGCCGTGTCCTCTGGGGGAGACGTGTGCTCTGGGGGAGCCGTGTGCTCTGGGGGAGCCGTGTCCTCTGGGGGAGACGTGTGCTCTGGGGGAGCCGTGTGCTCTGGGGGAGCCGTGTGCTCTGGGGTAGCTGTGTCCTCTGGGGGAGCCGTGTGCTCTGGGGGAGCCGTGTGCTCTGGGGTAGCTGTGTCCTCTGGGGGAGCCGTGTGCTCTGGGGGAGACGTGTCCTCTGGGGGAGACGTGTGCTCTGGGGGAGCCGTGTGCTCTGGGGTAGCCGTGTCCTCTGGGGGAGACGTGTGCTCTGGGGGAGCCGTGTGCTCTGGGGGAGCTGTGTGCTCTGGGGGAGACGTGTGCTCTGGGGGAGACGTGTGCTCTGGGGGCGTTCAGGCCGCTGGTGTGTTTTTGGCCGCGTAAACCTGGGTGCCAGGGTGAAGATACTGGTGTAGAGATAGGTCTCCCCAGGCTCAGATATGCATGTCAGCGGGAAGACCTCTGACCTGGGTAGGAGTCAGGACACCTCATCTCCCTCGTTGCAAACTGAGGGAGCTGTCAGCAGAGCTTCTCTCCTGGGGCCAGGGGTGTGTTCATGGCATCTGTGCATCTGGGAAAGCTTCACCTTCACATTCACCAGTCTCTGCTCGAGAGCCTGTCCTTCCGTTAGGAACACAGGCAGCTCCCCTCCCCAGAACTGGCCACCAGGAGAAATCACAGGTCAAACCTCACTGCAGCTGTGACAGACCCCTCAGCTGTCCTGATGGCCGTCCCTCCGAAATGTCCACTTCCAGGCCAATGGCGGTCTGAAGGAGTCTGAGCCGTCCTCTCTCGCACGTTCTTCCAGCTCCGTTATCTTCTGCGCTTTATGGTATTCATTTTATTATTTAAAATATATTTCTTGCCCTAACCGGTTTGGCTCAGTGGATAGAGCGTCAGCCTGTGGACTGACAGGTTTGATTCCGGTCAAGGGTATGCACCTTGGTTGCAGGCACATCCCTGATGGAGAGTGTACAAGAGGCAGCTGGCTGATGTTTCTCTCTCATCGATGTTTCTAACTCTCTCCTTTTCCCTTCCTCTCTGTAAAAAATCAATTTTATATCTATATCTATATCTATCTATATATCTATATATATATCTATATATATAGATATATATATAATGTATGTATATATCAATATATATGTATGTATATATGTCTTTATTGGTTTCAGAGAGGAAGAGAGAGGAAAGAGATAGAAACATCAATGATGAGAGAGAATCATTGATGGGTTGCCTCCTGCACACCCCCTTCTAGGGATCAACCCAGGCTTGTACCCTTGGCCAGAATTGAACCCAGGACCCTTCAGTCCAAAGGCTGACGTTCTATCCACTGAGCCAAGCTGGCTATGACTATTTTATTCATTTTAAATGTTATTCTGAGAAGAGGATCCAGGGCGTCACCGGACACCCTAAGGGCCATGGCCCACTGGGGTCAGGGTGAGGCCCGCTCTGGGGGCCTGAGAGGGAGCTGAGAGAGAGCAGACGAGGCTCCAGGGCCTCCAGACCCTAAGCGTTACCCACAAACAGTCCTACTCCAGGGAGTCAGGGTTGTGACACCAAGTGGGGGCCCGTCTGGGGCCCTGGGCGATTTATTTTGTGAAAGCTCTGCAGACAGGTGTGTGTGCAGCTGTGGCTAACGTCCTGCCCTGAGGCTGGTCTGGCTCAGGCACCTCCTCCCCGCAGTGCTGTCCCGCCAGCAGCGCACCCCGGGGGACCTCGCCCCGCTTTAGGTCCATTTAATTGTCGCATCGTTCTGGTGAGAGTGAGGCTGAGGTCGGGAAGGCTGGGTTCGATCCCCGGCCTCCAGGTGCCTCCCCTGGAAAGGTCGGGGGAGATGACCTGGGCAGCCAGCCTGGCCTCAGGGAGGGCAGGAGGAGGGATGTCAGCCTAATGTGCATCCTCATTCTTGCCCGCTGAGGGGTTTGCCAGGTCTTACGAGGGAGAGGAGGCCAGACAGTCCCAGGCTTCCCTCCCCCCCACCTCCTGGGGCCACAGAGGGCGAGTTGCAACTGTAATAAGGCTTCTCTCCAGGACTCACCCACCCTTCAGACCTGATCTTCACTCCCCGCCCCACCACTAGTTTAGGTTTCCCCAAGCTAGCCGCGCACAAGGCCGACCCCAGCGCATCCTCCCAGCCCCATCCTCCACCCCCCCCCCCCATCCCCCCCAGGCTCAAGGAATCACCCTTGGCGAATTTGAGGCTGATGGACTGTGGGGAGGGGTGGAGGTGCATCTCCAGCTTCCACTGGAAGGCGGCGCCCTCTGGCGGTCAGAGTGCAGAACCAGCAGTGCCTGGCCCCCGGGGCGCCAAGGTCAGATTCCAGGCGCATCCTTTCCCCATGGTCCTCGCTGGCCCCCGGCCCCCTGAGCGCCCGGGACAGACTTACACACCCAGCTGCAGCCAGGCCGCAGCACCCCGAGCACCCCAGTGTCAGCGCCCAAGAGCAGGCCAGCCGGGGTGCCGCCTCCTTTTGGATGCGGTCCCTGCCCCCGCTCCCCCCCCCACCCCACCCCCGCCCAACCCTGGAACCAGCCTGGAGGAGGAACTGGCCTCCCCCCGGGCTCACAGATAGGCAGTCCGGAGCCCAGACTGGGAGCGAATCTCCCAGCCCACTGCCCACCTTCCGTCACCACTGGATTCATGACAAACGTCTGCCAAGGTTTAACTAAATGGCCATACGGCAGCCGTTCAAGATCCCTCATTCAGCTTCCTCCTGCCGGCTCCTGGGTACCCTCAGGTCCTCATTATTATTAGCCCAGTCCTCGTGTTGTAACCCTACCTGCATGGCTTGGATAGGCGTGAGAAGGGGGACAAAGGGAATTAAACCCTCAAAGACTCGCATAACTTGCTGTGATTTCAGGCTGGTCACACTGCCTGTACCAGTAAACTTACCTCCAGGTGCTTAGTACAAAAGCGGACTGCTCACCTTCCGGTGCTTTGTCTCAGAGTCAGCGGGAGTGTGACCGCAAGGAGCGGGGCCAGAGGTCAAGGTTAGGGCAGAAGCACTGGGGGCCAGACTACTGGGATTGTAACAAATGTATGGATAAATATAGAGAAATTAGCAATTGCCTCCATTTACATTTTCTTTTATGTTCCTTAATAGCACTTTATATTGTTTATCCTATAGTCCCCTACAGCAATCTTGTTACACTTTAAACCCATTTTAAATTCTTGGGCATTTTACATTTTATTGTTGTTCCTAGAATGTGTGGGATTTTTCCTTCTATCATATTTTCTATCAATTGTATATAGGAAAAATGATTTCATGTATTCATTTTATAAGTGAACTAGAGGCCCAATGCACGAAATTTGTGCAAGGGGCTCAGCCCTCACAGCCGGCTTCCTACAGAAGGTCGTTCGGCTGTCCGGCCTAATGAGCATATGACGTTTTTATTATTATATATACCTTATGAAATTTTATTTTTGCTATGTTTATACATTATTTTAGGTAGGTTGTACTTACATAATAACTCAGACTATGGATATGCCGTAATTCACTCAGCCATTCTCTAACCAGCGTGTCTTCACCTCCACCTCCATCAAGTGGAGCCGACAGAAGCCGGGGCCTTGACCAGGGCTCCCTCTGTGCTTTCAGGGAAGCGAGGCCAAGGACATCAGCAGAGCCATTCTCTTCGAGTCCCTGAGCTGCTGGCAACCTGCAGGACACCGATGGCACCTGGCAGAGGCTGCTTGGTCCTGGCCACTCTGCTGGCGATTGCGGACATCCAGCCTGGCGGTGAGGACCGCCCATCCCCAAGCCCAGAGCAGAGCAGCCGCCGGGGACCGGGGGCTCCTGAGGGGGTGGCTCCCATGGTTTCTTCCCTGGTGAGGGAGAAGGGACCGGCTCTTCTTGATGCTAATGCAAGGGGGACAGACATAGTTTCCTTTTCTTTGTTAGAACCCCAGCCTGCACCCATCAGACACTGCGTCTGTGCTGTGTGTTGCCAAGAGCCTGGTAAACTGGCCCTCCCTCTGAAGTTCCTACAGGCTCATAGACTCTAAACCACATGTGTCAAACACAAGGCCCGCAGGCCAAATCCGTCCCGCCAGGCCTTGCAATGTGGCCCGCACCGCGCTGTCATCACTGCACTCCGCTGCGTTTCCATCACAATGACAGTTTATGACTGTTCAGTAAACCATTCGGCCCGCGATTTAGGCTGAATTTTAGATTTTGGCCCCTTCTCTGATTGAGTTCGACACCCCTACAACTCATGGAACCCATTTGCCAGCTCCGAAAGCCCACGTAACCCCCCAGTGCTTCCTATTTGTTAGTCTATAAAATGGGAACACCTGCCTCTAGGGCTATATCAAGGATGAGATACATTAAACAAGCACTTTGTTAAAGGCCTACAGGTTCCAGATGGACAGTAAAAACCAAACCCAAACCATTCCTCAATCAATGAGTAGCTGGGACTGCAGGTCTCCATCAGCCATGGGTGTAACTCATGGGCCACTCTTCTAAGATGGCACTTACTGACTCTGGGCAGCCCGCATCTCTGCCTCAACATTTAGAAATAAATGTGCCAAGTACTCCCAGCCTCCCTCGGCTAATTCTTCCCTTTTCGTTGCAGGATGCATGCAAATCCTCAGCTCAGCTTCCCAGCAAGGAAGGCGACTGATCTTAATCTGCACCTTGCGGCATACGGATGAAGAGGCGGAGGGGGCCATCATGTTTCTGTGCAAGGACAGGCCTTCAGACTGCTCCCCTGAGACCAGCTTGGAGCAGCTGAGTCTGAAACGCCCTCCTAAGACGGATGGTGTCCGTAAACGGTCATCTCGGCTGGAGTTCACCATAGACGAAGCCACGCCATCGGCCAACGGGACCTACCAGTGTTGTGCCAAAAGCCAGAAGCCAGAAATCCTCCTCCAAGGTCACTTTTTCTCCGTTTCAGTCACAGGTGAGCTCCTCACACCCCTACTAGCACGGCCGGACCGCAGCAGGGCCGGCAGCGGGGGAGGCAGGCATTTCCGGCCCTGACCAGGCGGCCTCCTGGAGGAAGAGTCCTTCCCGTGAGCCATCCTTCCCCTCCCCCACGGGCCAATGCTGCTTTCCTAAGAAGGTAATCTCAGTGGGTCAAAAAACCTTACAGGGGTGGCTGGCCATCCATGTTTACTGACACAGACTGAGTCACGAGTAGGTAAAAGCAGCTTATCCGATGCCACTCCCTGACCAGAGCCAGGAACTGCAGGCGGATGGAGGCCTCCCACTTCCCAATGGAGCTCTCAGAGCTGCGGCTGTATATCCGAACGCTGGCACTGAGCCTTCTGGCTGGGACAGAGATTTGAGATAAAATGGAAGGTTGTCTTAAAGACCATTTAGTTGTAACAAACAGAAACCCATTCAAGCTGCAATAGATTAGGGAGGAGCCGGCCTTCAAGAGTCCGTACCCAGAGTACCCAGAAACCAGAAAGCCAACAGAAGCCGAGATTCTGCCTGGATCTCACTGGGGCAGCAAAGCCTCATCCCTACAGATCCCCTCCACTCTGCCCCCTGCTGCCACTCTTTGGCACAGGCTGCATATGACCTTCCAGCCTCAGCTGTACCCACAGCTTCCTCATCTGCCCAGCAGAGCGACTCTGTTCCTACATGACCAGAGGGGCTAGCCTTGCAGAGAAAAATTCTATTCTACCTAGAATTCTATGCCCCACCAAGCCACCAATCAAATGTGAGGAAGGAATAAAGACGCATCAGACAAGCAATGGCTCAAAACTTGACTTCTATGTGATGGTTCATCAGAAGCTACCAGAGAATGTGCTTCAGGAAAACTAGAAAGTGTAGAAATATGGTGAAACATTACAAAGAATTGAGAGTGATGATCTGCTATTATTCTTTATGAACTTTCAAGTAATTACTTTTTAACTTTAAGAAAACTAGGTATAAATCACACACACATACCCAAACCAGAAACCTGGCCCAGAGCCTTTTAACAAATGTTTTCATCCTCTTCTGTGGTTAGTGGTCAATCCAAATCTACTTCCGTCTAGGCTGGGCTGTATTTTCCTTCCTTGCTTCCTGGTGTGTCTTCCTCAGGCCTACCTACAGCACTCAGCACTGATACACTGACTTCTGTGGCTGTGCTCCCTGCTTTTTCTACCTTTCTGATTTCTTGGCTCTCCTTCTATGCTTACATTTCCTCCTCTTTAACATGGGAATTCATTCTCCAAGACTCCCCATTCCCCCTCCATCTTTTTGCGCTCTCTCTCCCCCACGTCCTCATCCACCCTCTTCTCTGTCCCTCCCTGCAGCTGACCCACAAATCAACTTCTCCAGCTCTCAACTCTTCCCTAAGTTTCAGTTTAACATTTCCACTGACAACTAGATTTCAGCTCCTGAATGTCCTACCATCTCCTCAAACTCAAACCCATCCGCCTGAGACTGTATTTCTGCCCACACTTTGGTCTAAACCTTGGTCCCTCCTTTTTCCCTTCCCCCATCCAGTTACTAAGTACTGCTGGTTCTTTCCCACATTCATTCCCTTCTTTTCGGTGTTCTCTGGGTCATTATCTCATGTAAAACAGCCCAGCAGCCTCCTAACTGGTGAGCCCCTTGAAATCCAACTCTTACTCATCTTTCTCTGCCACCAAGCGCAGGGCCAGGCACTGAGCTGCTGCCTAATGAATGGCCCATCAACTCTAAAATACTGTCTCTGCCTCCAATCCATGCTGCCACCCACCATCTAAAATGCTAATCCTATATAATAAAAGCCTAATATGCTAAGTGTCTGGTCGTCTGGTAGGCCGTTCAATCAATCAAAGCATACCATGCTAATGATATGCTAAGGCCGCTCAACCGCTTGCTATGATGTGCACTGACCACCAGGGGATAGACAGTCCATCAGTCAACCAGTTCCTATGACGTGCTCTGACCACCAAGGGGCAGACTCTCTGACCAGTAGGTTAGCTTACTGCCAGGGTCCGACCAATCAACACTGAGCAAGATGGGCTGGACATACTCTGGAGCCCTCCCACAGTTCCTCCCCGGCTGGCCAACCTCTCATGTCCCTCCCTGGCCCTGACTGTGCATTGGTGGGGTTTCTCGGTCTAGCATGAGCCTTCTCGCAATCCAGGACCCCTCAGGGGATGCTGGAGAGCCAGTTTCAGCCTGACAGCAGGGTGACGACCAGTGGCTGACACACACTGACCACCATGGGACAGACACTCAATGTAGGAACTGCCCCCTGGTGATCAGTACACTCCCACAGGGGAGCACAGCTCAGCCAGAAGCCAGGCTCATGGCTGGTGCTCAGCAGTGGAGGGAGCCTCTCCAGCCTCTGTGGCAGTCAGACATCCCCCGAGAGCTTCCAGACTGCAAGAGGGCACAGGCTGAGCTGAGAGGACTCCCTTCCCTCCCGAGTGCACGGATTTCATGCACCGGGCCTTTAGTTTGCACATGATGCACCACCATCTGGTTTTAATAGCTTTTCACCGTCTATGATGCAAAGCCCAAGTTACTTTAACCTGGCACTATTTAGTACTGTTCCAGTCACCTTCACTCACTAGTGGGACCTCCTTTCATTCATTGAACAAGTAAGTATTGGACAGCCCCACACAAGCCTTAGAGAACAGAATGGGGTACAACAAAGTCGTCGTTCCTTGTAACGTAGCATTCATGTTCTAACACAGAAGTATCATGGTCGGCATATGTGAATACCCACTAAGTGTGGAAATAAGGTTCCTTTTGGAAGATGAATGAGGCCAGACTGGTAACAGTATCAATAAACAATGTCTACCATTCACCAAGTGCTTTCCGTGCTGGGCATTGTGCTAAGTGATACTTCACTTAATCTGCATGATCTTTTGAGAAAGCCACTATTCTTGTCATGTGACAACTCGGGCTCACAGGGAATCTGTCTAAGTTCACTCAGCTAGTAGTTAAGTGAGGGATAAAAATCCAGATCTATTCCAAACCCAGATTTTAACTTAGGCTGAACTGCTTAACCAACCCATCCCACATATAGCTTTTAGATGAGGCCAAGTCCAAGGTGACTAAGCTATTTTAACTGTCTCTCTGGTATGAATTTAGAGTTCCTTCAAGGCAGGCTTATTTGCATTCCCTGTGTGACAAACAGTAGATCCCACAGTTACTTATTGAAGCTAATGGACATCATCATCATCATCATCATCACTCACAAAGGTTTTTTAAAAAACTGATCTGGGCAATGAATTATCCTAAGATACTTGGAGACCAGAAGCTGTTGAGGTGATGAAAAAGGATGTTGTATGATTTCTGAAACCCTTCCCTGATCCCGATTGTCTTCTGAACCAGAGACAGGGAACTACACGGTGAACGGACTGAAACTAACAAGACAGCAGGAGTCCAGCCACGGTAACGGCCCTCTCCACAGTAACGGCCCGCTCAGTCCCAGCGTCCTGCAGGAGGTCTGGGTGATGCTGGCCACCAGCCTGATGGCCCTTCAAGGTATGTTCAGATGACGCTTACATGCCCCGAGCAAAGACACCTAACTAGGGAGAGCAAAACTGGCCCAAAGGGACTGGCTAAGGAAGCATGGGTGAATCGGACTCTCCTTCGGGTAGGTGGTCTCCTGTGAGGAAAGGCCTGCAGGAGGCCATTAAACACAGCTGCCTGTACTCACTCACAATCAGGGCTACACTGAGGCTGCCACGTGAAAATGAACAAGGGCAGAGACAGACCTGGTCCGGAGGTGCGGTTTGAACAGTGCCTCCGCAACAAAAGCTGATGCCAGACTGAGGATATTCAGCACTTCTGGCTCAGGCCTCTGCGCACCCTTTATCAACAGGAATCGAAGTTTTCCCTCAGAGAGGAACTTGCAATGCTTTGCCATTACATTTTTGCATAAATCGAATGCCGGGTTTTGTCTGTCCTTGGCATTCTAATTCCATCTTATTTAGGCATTCCTCAAATCAATAAATATCCACCACTTGATTGTCACCAGAATGTAAGCTCTATAAATGCTGGAACTGTCTTGTGTTCCCTAACAAAACAAACAAAAGAGGTGCCAGGCACATACAGGTTCTTAACAAATTTGTTTGAAGAATCTGCATGATGGGCTGGGCCTTACACAGTGATTCTAACCTCCTACCCACCCTTTCAGGCCAAGATTCCCGATTACTCATCAGGCAAATGGGTACAAAGAGGTGAAATGTCGCCCCGTTCACAGGAATCAATGCAGATCCTTCTCACGAACACCCTGTGCCCTCAGTAATCATCTACTATAACCTCAACTCCTCCATTCGCCGCCCCCCCCCCCATTCGGAGACCGCCTCCTCCCATTTCTAGAAACAGGACTTAACACTCCCTTAGTCCATCTCTTTACCTATAAACCATCAAAAGAAAAGTGACTCTACCTGTGATCCTTGGCGAGGACCTGCCCAACGTACTAGTAAGCCTACGCCAGTTTCCAAGCAGCAGCTAACTCGCCATCACGCAGTCTGACCTTGTACACATTTCTTTACTAGAGGCCTGGTGCACGAATTCGCGCAAGAGGCAGCCCTCACAGCCCTTGCAGTCCCGGCTGCCTGGCAGCACTGACCCCCTGCCCTCTAGTCATTCTGCATCCAGTCTAATTAGCACGTTAACTCTTTATTATATAGGACTAAATCTAAATTCTCTCAGGTGGATAGGTTACTGTTAGTAAAATAAATTTTACTCCTTCATACAGAATAAATGCCCTAAAAATAAATAAATAAATAAAAATAAAAAATAAAAAAAAACCACAGAGGAAATAAGTCTAGCCATTCAATCTACTACACTTACTACCGGAGTCCTAAGTTACCCCGGAGTAAAAAATCTCTAAGCTCTTTTCCCTTCTCCGGTCAGATGAAGAGAATGAAGTTTTGATAGTTCGTTCCTTTTCTTTGTTCTCCCTCTCCCAACAAGACTTACCAGAATTATTAGAGAGGCAGCATTCAGTAGGAAAAAAGTACGTGTTTTCTCGGGCCTAGGGGAATTATATACATCAAGTTAGCATGTTTACACATGACAAAAAGGATGAAGGAGGTTCCTAGGTCTGTACCTTCCTCAATTCATGCTAATTTCACTGAGTAACCTTGTCCTATCACCATGCCAACCATTCAGTACTCTCCATTGTAAACCTACCTTGAACTTTGAGTGGTGCCCACTTCTTTGATTGCCCTCCCTTCCAGCAAGGAGAGATTGGTGGTTAGCTCCCTTCCCCCTTCAGCAGAATGTGAGATTTATAAATGCAATTTCAGCAGTAAGACACAACACATACCATGCATTCCTTTTTCCTTTTCTGTTCCCTCTCTAGCCATGAGCGCCTATCTCTCACACTCTCTCTCTCACACACACTCCCCAGGATAATTTAAATGAGGTATTTTGTTGCTATTCTAAGTTGTGTGGCAGTAATACAAACTTTCCTTTTTCTTCCTACAGCTCTGTAAGAGCTTCCTGCCAGAAGAAATCTTTTTTTAAATCACAGCAAGATAAATATGTTCACCTTGGTATCTTTCACATGACGTATGTACAGAGGAAAATGACACAGGGCACAGGGCAACGTGCCAGGAACCTGGGGTATATGAAATGGGACAAATGGGTGGATCCCTTGACCTCCCCTACGCACTGCCAGAGCAAGCCTGCCTGTCTTCCACCGCAGTCACAGCAATGACAGAACCGCTCTCCCGAGTGCCTGGGGTGCAGTGCCCACTCAGACTCGGATAAGCAGGTGTGTTTCTGTGTCTCCAGAACTTTTCCTCCCCTCCCCACCCCAAACACAGTAAAAGCAGCAAGTCAAACCAAGTGAGAACACCAATTTTTTTTGGAAGAAATTGTTATTTACCACCAAAGGGAAGAAAGAAGAAAGAAGAGAGATAGGCGAGGAAACAAAGAGACCCAAACCCAGTGTCTCTACTCAGCATCAATCTGGAGTAAATGAAGAGAGCACTGTGATCGACAGCAATCCGTGCGGCACTGATGGAGGAAGATCTGTGCAGACCAGGTGCACCACAGATCACAACTGTCTACCTTCAGCGAAGTACTTACCAGCATCTCTGGCCATTTCTCTTCTTATATAAATGCCCAAAACAATATTTGCATCGTTTTTTTCTCTTAAATTCACAAATCTTCTTTCTCCTTAAACAGACGACCTCTTAAGCAAAGAGGTGTGTGTGGGGGGGGGGGGGCAGATAGGACATGCTTGATAGCAAGAACTACATGAATAGAGGTGTGAACACACACAATTTAACTGGAGCTAAACATAAATAGCAAACCATCAAAAGGAAGCATCTTACCTGCAATCCTTGGCCAGGATCTGCCAAATGTGGGAGCTAAGGTTTGTGGGAACACAGAGAAAAGGCTGCAAGAGATGGGTAAGACCCTGATTAGTGATGGTCTTGATCTTCAAACTCAGAGGATTTTGGATTTTGTTTTGTGGAGGTAAAAAAACGAGGCATGGAGTCCAAAGACCTGGCTCTGCAACACACCAGCTGTTGTATCTGGGCAAGTGAGGTTCCGAAATACGTCTTTCAGATACGTAAATAATGTGTTTCAACTGGATGTCAATTCTGGTGTGACTACTAAAGATGAATTGATTTAAAGGTATTATTGAAATCTTAGCAGCTTTTTGTTATGTATTTATCACCAAGATACTGAAAATACAACTATCACCTTGTTGGGAAGGAAACTAGTAACTCTTGGACCTTAAAAAACAGTGCATCTTATTAGAAAATGTAAAGAACCATAAGCCTGCATCCCATAATTCACAGACAGAAGTGTCCTAGCTGAAAGAGACGAGGCAACACGTGTCTCCACTTCCGTGGCCCCTCTAGGTGTAATCAGCAAGACCAAGCTCTCATGCGTAAGATCGTAGAGTTGGGTGCATGGAACTCCGTTGTCTGGCAGGTATGAGATGAAAACCTCTATGCCCTTTGGGTAAGAGAAGGGCACCACCTACACCCTGGAAAACCTCTCCAGTTTACACAATGCATTCTGCCGGTTCTATTTTAAATCCCTGGAGTGGCCTACGGTGCCCAGGCGGAGTGCTGAGACTCTGACATTCCTACAAGCTACAATTCCCTCCCATCGGACAGCCTTGTGGAATATTTACCCCACCAAATCTTTCCCCAGCTCTCTGCACCAGAACCCAAGCGAGGTTCATTTTGGAAACTCACAATAAGAGGAGTCTGTCCTGCCGGTCCCCCTAACTCCCAAGTCCCCTCTGGTTTATTCCTGTAAACAGCACTCTGGTCTTCCACCTCCCACCAGGGTCAAACAGGGATTCGCCGGCATCATCTGTTACACCCTCCCCCTTTATCTCCTAAGGCTTGTCGTCTTTCACGATGTCAGTGGCCTGCCCAGATCAGCTCTAGCAACCAACTCTGAATGCCCTTCCACTCCAAAACCCGACACTACTGTACTGTTGTTTATAACAGACAGACGCATCCCCGCCTCGTTAGACTGATATATTTCATTAGTTCCTTGAGGAAGCAGCACCTAGACACCAGGGAGAAAGAAACTGAAGCACGCAAGTCATGAGAGAAATCAATTGGCAACAATAATTTATCAAGAAAAAATTTTAAAAACAAATTATATTTGAGTTCAACTTAATATCTTACAGAAGCAATGGATAATAAACAAACTTTTCTCAAAAGTCCTTTATTTTTAACCTCATCAATGGCTACACTCTTACTTCTATGGAATCCCTTCACCACACCAGATAACAGGGTGCTTGCCAGGCCAACAGTGTCCGAAAACAGAACTGCAGACACACAGGAGCCGGGTGTGCAGTGAGAGCCCCTGCTCCCTGCACCTCAGTGCCCATCAATCACATCTTTCCTTCTACAGTGAGTGAAAGGTGCAGGTATGTGTGTGTGTGTCTCTGTGAATATATACATATATACATACACACACATATATACGAATACGAAGACACAAACAAAAACTTTTTCTCCTAATAACCACTTAATCAAAGTGATACCTACTGGGGGGGAAATGTTCCCCAAAAACCTTCTAACTAAGTTGAGGGTTAATTACTGGACCAAGGAAATGTCTGACAAGTACTTGGCTCAACTGTTATGCAATAACAGTTGACAACTAAATGTTGACAACTAAAATTTATAATAAGCTATGGAAGCTATTCGATTTATAGCCATTTCCATAACCTCCACCTAGCGTAATCCTTTTTTCTTAGAAATTAGTACTTTAAGGAGAGAATCAATGAGCTACACCAATAGGGACAAAATGTCATTCTGGATTCTGCAAGTTTCTCAGCTCTTCAGAGAACGGGCAGTAGGAACTTTGAAGGAAAAGTACTGTTGGTACCAGGATGATTCCTTCTCCCTGTCCAAACTCAACAGCTTAGAAACTTTCAAGACGTCGAAGCTCTCCAGCTAAAGTACCACTTTGCCTTCCCACCCTACTGCCCAGTTCTGCCAGCCAGAATTAACCCAGAGGAACATGATTATACTAACCCATCTGCAGACTACCTAAGAAGCAATCATCACTTAGAGGTCAGAAAGGAGTTGCCCTATATAACCTCTCACTTTTCAAGTCTACCATTTCCCATTTCTGGGAAATGTCTCTGACTTACATGCTAGTTTTCTTCCCTCCTGTTTCAGATCATGCTGGACAAGAGGAAGATAAAGACATTCATGATTTAAAAAAACAACAAAAACAACAACAATCTGTTTAGCTCTGCTGGGACTCATATTACATTTAATATGAAATCTAAGGGCTCAAGATCTTAAATTGCAACAGTTTTCTCTTCTCTTTGACAACCAGGGAAAGCTGTCTTTTGAGTCCTATTAATGCTCCAGGTTCCTGAGTCTGTAAGCCTTCCAGTAACAAAGGAATGAAACACCTAAAAAGTCTGGGTTATGTAGCCCTCTGCCTTAAGCACTGCATCTTACTTAAGAGCAAGGCATTCCTAGAAACAAACTGTGTAATTGAAGAGAAAAAATAGCTATGATGCACACTGCCAACTGGTCCTCATCCCATGAAGGTTTCTTCTACCGTTTAACCCTAGAACTAAGGTCTCTAAACAAGACCTATATTTCCATAATTTGGAAAAATCTAAGTGGGATAAGGATCTTTCTACCGTGTGCATCACTTCTATTTTTCTTTCTTGTGATGATTAATTTGTGTCCACCTAACTCAGCCATGAGATGTCAAGATACCTGGACAAACGTTATTTCTGAGTGTGCCCAGGAGGGCATTTTTCACAAGACTAACACCTGCACCAGCAGACTGAGCAGAGCAGATTCCCTCCCTAGCATGGGGGAGCCTCGTCCAGTCAGTTGAAAGCCTGAATGGAACAAAAAGGCCAAGTGGGTTCATCAGCCTGTCCTGCCTTTGAACTCAAAATTTTAAAAAATCAGCTCTTCTTAAGTTTCCAATCATCCGGCCTTTCAACTACAGCGTACTCCATCAACGCGCCTATGCTCAGGTTAGGAATCAAATTAGAATGCCGCTGCTCTCGCAGAAAAATTGGGACAGCTTGGAAAGATCTTGGAACCTCTTAGCCTCCATATCGCATGAGCAAATTCATTATAAAGCTATACATGCATACACACAAGCACGCACAGATCCTATTAGTTCTGCTGCTTTATAAAACCCAAATATATTGCTTAACCTTATTCTAGGAAGAAGCACTTCAGATTCATTCAGTGGGAGGAGTCTGGGGAACAGCAAGCCCTCTATCAGAGCAAAGAAGTGAAGAAATTTTCAGATAATTTAGACTATTGCTGGCTACTCGGTGCACTGAGAAAATAAGTCCCATTCCAGCACTTTGTTTCCATCCTTCTAGGAAGCTCCTCAGACCCTTTCTAGTTCTCTGGTTTTAAGTAAATTGCAAACACCTGTTCTGGCATCTCCAGACACTTAACAGGCAGGCAAAATCTTCCAGGCTGCCACAATTCTTCTGAGACAGTTGAATAGTGGTCCATAAATATTCATAATATACCTCCAGCTTCTCCTCTCCCCTCAAAAGCAATGTTTATTTGGAGGCTAGATTTCAATAGGCTTAATAGCTCACATTCTCCAAAGAAACAAACTCTACAGAGGTGTGACATGAGAGGCATATAAAAAAAAAACTTTTATTTCCTCTTGGCCCAACCTGAATTAGACCTTATGGACACACTTTTACAGGCAGGCTATTAATTCAGCAGGCCACTTTTCTACTTTCTCTCTTCCCTCCCCTATCATCTACCGTTAGAGATATCATCTGTATCTCTAATTCTCTTCCCTAACCCCACCCCGCCCCCCACCCCAAATCAGAGTATAGTGCATGATTGCATGAGAGTCAACAAAAACTAAGACAGACAGGAGCCAAGGAGACTCACCAACAAGAGGCCTTCTTGTTCCGGTCATTCCACAGTATGACCACACTAACGGTGCCGCTCTGTGATCCTCTGGGCTGTGCCAACAGTACCCATCCTTTCCCTTTGAGACTCTGAGATTCCAAAGACATTTCTGATCTTTCTCAAATGCACCTAACAGCATATGCATGTAGATGGGACACTGTTAGGCTAAAAAAAACAGTAAGGCCTACCTCTCCAAGACCAGGCTGTTTTGGACATAATCACAGTAATCAGTTTGATTCCGAGGATATCCAGAACCAAGTTAACCAAGGTTTCGGAGATGATCAAAGGGCTTAAAAAATTAAAATAAGACAATGTAAAAATCTCAATTCCTCAATGAATTACTAAGAACAGTGAACAGAAGCAGCAATGAAGGCATTCTATTTCCGTGAGGGGAAATTATTTTAAAGTCTCCAGGACAAACTACAGTAAACAGCGAGATGGGGATCATTAAAAAACGCCAGAACCAAAGATTTCAATCGTGTCCTCCGTTGCCTGTATGCTGCTCTGCTCTTTTGCAAAAAGGAGCCAGAATGAGATTCCTACCAACAGAAGACCCGTAAGTCATGTCAGCTGGTTTCTGCAGAGACTGCAGCTTTTGAAGTAGTCTTTAAAAACTAAATGAGAAAACCAGAGTATAATGATAAGCCACTTACTCCTTCCAAATGTAATTTTTCTTTGATTTGCTGAGGGTTCAAGAAAACGTCAGTTTTAGATTTCTGAATTAATCTGACCTTAATTCATAGCTAATGTGGCCAAGAGTACATGCTTTTGTATAATTAAAACTGAAGGACTTACATCAGTAGGACTTTCGGGCTCTGGTTCCACTGTATTTATCATAAAGTACACTAATGGTAGGATGGAGGCTGGACACAGGGGTGAAAACATCCATTTCAGGGCAACATGGCAGAGAGCAGGACCCGAGCTGGACTTCAAGGAGCTAATTCTATTCTGGCAGGGGAGCCCACATAATTAAGTTGCACACTTAGAAAATTATTACTCTGAATTCAGCAATAAGAGGCATTTGGTTTTAGATACAATTCCATCTATGGATGCTAACTTGAAATTTAAAGAAAACACTCTGCATTAATATTAGGGGTTGGGGTTTCTTACACGATTCCTAAATCCACCGACTATTTTGTTTTGATACAATTCACAGCTGTGGTGAGAAGACGCCACAGCCCTGGCTCAGACTCGGTCTTTAGATTCAGAAAGTCCATCGGTCATGCAGCTGGTTGTCACTGTTAAATCTGTTGCTTGCAGAGGCCTCAGCGTTGTGGGTTTGCCAAGTAGAGTCCTCGCCATTTAAGCTCTTCCTACATATAGGACATGTATCGTGCTGAAACAGAAAGATATCAGCCCACGTAAACAGCTTGACCTGAGAGGTTGCAGGTACTAAAAACACTAGAAAATGCTCAGAGTTGGCGGGTAGAAAACCAAAAAGGTTTTGCATTTCACACAGTACACACTGGGTTCCGAGGTGCTAATACCAGGACATCTCCCAAACCGAACTTTAAACGCAGAGAGAGCTCGTAACAGCAGCCAACACATACCACCACCAGAACTAACCAGAATTAGTGACTTGAGATGATCTAGAGCGGGGGGCAGAAAACTTCTTCTGTAAAGGGACGGGAGTAAATATTTTAGGCTTTGCAGGCTAAATACCACCTGTGTCGCAACTACTCAGTGATGATGTCACAGGCCATTTGTAAACAAACAAGCATAGCTGTGTTCCAATAAAACTTCTCTTACAAAACAGATGGCGGGCCACCGTGACCTGTGGGCTATAGGTTTGCTAACCCCTATTTATAGCCAGACAGTAATTTAAGAAACAGTAATGGTGTTACTAAGAGTCAGCCGGGGACTAAAATCTAATCTTCGTTAACTGTTAACTACACCCTTACGCTCCAGCATTCCCCCGCAGGATGTGACTGGCGCAGATGCCCGTCACAGGTGAGAGGGTCAGCACTCACCAGTTCCAACCACGGCACAATACAGCTGCTGTGGAAGAAGTGGTTGCAGGGCAACTGCCGGACTTCCTCTTCAGCTGTGTAATCTTCTTTGCATACTGGGCACTCTAAACCCATGTCTGTTGGAGGAGAAAATGCCTTTTAAAGTGAACAAGCAAAAAGAAGGAAGAAAATACGAGCTTGATTTCTTTAACCACCAAAGGAATGCATAAAGAAGACACAAAAGCATGCCAGTGGAGACAGGTAGGGTAGCATGAGTTTTACTTCAAAATGGGGTTCGTGGCAATGGACTGGGATATGAAAAGGAGGACTGGTGAATGGGCCTATTCTGGTAAGACCTACTTTTCCAGGTAAAATGTTGGAAGAAATAAATGAGGGCATGGGTTCACTGTTAGGTCAAACGGGAACATTCCCAATGTGTGATAGACTTCTGGCAGTTTCTTCTTAGGATTAACACTGGAAATCTGCACACCACAATCGAGGGACTCAGCTCAGCCGTCTTAGCTGTTCCTCTTCAGTATCTCAAGCCACGTTTACCTATTTTCCACATTAGGCATCCTCGTCCAACACGGCTGCCCAGAGCCCTCTGAACAAGCTGCAGTTAAAAACTGTACCAGGAGGTGGTGCTGCAGAACTGCAAAGCTCTAGGGCACTCAGGCTCCAAGTCCAGAGAGAGGAAGCCGCCTTCTCTGAGGGCACCAGCCAGTCTCTTTCCCCTGCAGGATCCGCTCCGTGAGCCACAGACTCAGGGCAGTTGGAGTAAGACTTTCCACTCAGACGCACTGCTTCCTCTCCATTCCTACCACCTGTGGTCTAATTACAGCTTCCGCATCTTATGCCTCGTCTGCTGGAACAGCCTCCCATATCGGAGCCCTACCCCAGGTCTTCAACTCTACAAACACATACTACCCTTTGGCGCCTGCTCATCTCCCCTAATACCAGCTCCACAGCACTCTCCAGCTCATCTTCACTTGGATTCTCAGCTCGTGCCTCAAAAACCAACAAATTCTAAATTAAAAATGTTCTATCACCTCCTTATCAAATCAGGGCCTGTTAACAATCCCACATTCCTGATAATGCCAGCACCACCTATGTATTGTAGTTGCAAAATCCTAGAATCATCTTTGACCCTTTCTCCTCCTTCCATCGATTTTGCAATCAGTGATAAATGCCTTTCTCCTCTGTCTCTACCCTTTCCTTTCTGTCAGCCTTGTCACCATCACCTGAACCCCACCTAGATACTGCAACAGCCCTCACATTCCTGTTTCTGCCTCGTTCCCCTTCCAGTCTACTTTAGACACCACCTCCAAATTAATCTATTATACACTGCAGACCACTTCACTTTCCTCTTCCCTCCATTTGAGGATCTATTGTACAAAACTTACCTCCCCTCAGAACACTCACCCCTCACTTCCCTGCCACAACTTCAATGTCCAGCATAACAAGGCCTACCCTTCCTATCCCATCATGCCTCCCACACCAGATTCTATTTCAGGTCTGACAAGGTCAGATCTCATTCGGACACTATAGCCATGTGAACATTTTTACATTGGTTCACACTTTTCCTATAGTAGAATGACCTAATGTGGTCCTTCCTACCTTTAAACTCTGACTCTAAATATGTGGGGAAAGAAACTCCCAGTCCAAAATAATGTCCTTTATCACTAAATTCCTCCAATGTTACAAACAGAATATCTATTTCTAATGGACCTAACTTGAGAGTTGATAAGAAACAAATTCCCAGCTTCTCGTTTATATCTTTTCCTATCTCCGCAGTCAGTAAGTAGCATCTGCTCAGCAGTATTTCTGACACTGTTATCTAATTACCAGAGGCCCAATGCACAAAATTCGTGCAAGGGGCTCGGCCCTCGCAGTCACAGCGGCTGCCTCGGCCCTGGCTTCATCAGGAAGAACGTTTGGCTGTCTGGTCTAATTAGCATATTATGCTTTTTATTATTATAGGTTTGGAGAGTTTTGCTTCCTCTAGTAAATTCTTCAAGAAATCAAGTCTTATGTATATTTATACCACATGGTAATTGCTCATGGTACCTAATGAAGAGTAGGCACCTCCTTACAAAGTACTGGAAGTACTGCAATTTTGAACAGAAGGTGACAGAAATTGAACCTACCAACTTGTTCCTGAGTTACTGCCACTGTTGGAAGAGATGTGATCTTTTCCTTGTCAGCGGGGGGAGGCCCCGTGTTTTCCAGCTGTCCAAAAAGCTACAAAAAGAGAAAAGGAAGTGGTGAACATCCAACTATCCCTTTGTAATGAGTTGCTCTAGCCAAGAACAAACAGTGCAGATATTAGAAATGTTAGTAGCTCTTACTTCTCCAAGGCTCTGAGAGGCAGAGATTGCCTCTTTACTGCCGCTGCAACACTCATAATTGCTTTACAATTTCAGAGTGACACCTGTGTAAGTCTACAGACAGACCCTCTCATTGCAAGGCCCACCTTTGGGCACAGAACAACTTTAGAAGCAGCAAAAGCGTTGTGACATCATGAATAAAATTTAACAAAGAGCAATACTTAACTAATCCAAAACCTTCATTCTGCTGGAAGGAAGGAAAGGGTGGGAGTATGGAAAGCAGCATAAGGTAAGCCAAGAAATTGGTAAATACTGCCTATATGATTTGGATATAAACAACATGCTTTCTGTTCTCAGCAACCCACAAGGGAAATGAAAAAACAATTAAATTAAGATTAACAAGTGGAAACAATTATCCATGGCATGGGAATACCTTTTTCTCTGCTTCCTTCCCCTACTTGCTCCATCTGACAGAAATCCCTGCTTCAGCACTAGACCTTCCCTTTTTGTGAAGTAACTTGTTAATAGGATCCTCAAAGGCCTGAACAAAAGGCCAAAACCACAAAATACTGTTTGTTATAAGAAAAGGTTCTTTTTAACTGATTTATTTAAAAAAAAATTTTTTAGAGGAAGGGGGAGACAGAGAAACATAACTGGTTGTTTCACTCATTATGCATTCACTGACTGATTCTTCCATGTGCCCTGACCGGGATAAACCCACAAGCTCGGGATATGGCGACGATGCTCTCTGAGCTAACTGGCCAGGGCGGAAAATTGGCTCTTCCTGTGGAAGGGAAGCGATCTTCAAATAAGGTCTTAAGATCTGGAAGATACTTGGGTACTGAGCTACACCAGCAAATCATTAGCAAAATGCAAACCCACAAGCTCAGAATATTAGGGAACAGAGTGGCATTTCAGAAAGTAGCAGGAGGAGAGCAGGAGATCTGTGGGACCGTGAGACACACCGGACAGACACCTTCAGCAGGCAGCTCCTCACCTGGGTGACAATGGCGTCAAGCCCTGTTTGACCCCAGGCATAGTCCCCAGGGTTGGAGTGCAGCATCCCGCTCCTATACATGAGATGAGAGAGACAGAGTTAGAGGAAGGGACCAGGCCCCGCCTTACACCACACAAAATCTGGCAGAGGAGTCCTGTTCTCTCAGACCTGCCCAGGCACTGGTTCTCTAAAGTCAAGTGGCAAAAAGTTCTCAGTATTTCCAAGGTCAAACAGATTATCCAGAGAGTCTCCCATTCCCTAGGAATTTTTCCTAAACCGAATGGAATAAAATGTGAAGCCACTTGAAATACCACATGACACATAAGAACAGAAGGATGCACTGCCTGTTGGTGGAGAACAGTTGACCTTCTCTGTGCCCACTTACATTAAACATAGATGGAGCAGCTTTTTAAGAGTTTTTCCCTCATGACTGGACAAAATCTGGAACAGACCTCACCCGTGGTTCTGAACAATGAGGAGCTTTCAAGTGGAAGCAGCCATCGCAGTCTCTCTGAACCACAACTTAAAACAATACAAAAGAGAGCTGGCAGTATCTCTCTTTGGAGCTGCTGGTGCGCGGCCCTGGTTGACGGAGGGAATATGTTTAGAGAAACTAGAGGTTAGAAAATAGAATAACTGTGTGGATGAACTGAAGTCACTCTAAGCAAAGAAAGGCTTTTGGGGGCAGAGTCAGAAGTAGCAAAATAATCGTCGAAATAACACCAACCATACATCATTATAACTCTGTTTCTTCTGATGGACCTTCTTACTTAGAAGAAAACATTATGTTTTCAACTTCAGAAATTCTTAAGGAATAAAATCTTCCCATCTGATTAGGAGAAACCTACAAATCAGATAGTTTCCAAGCCTGGCAGAGACCTACTGCCCCTGCTCATTCCCACCCCCAACACCAGAATCAGACACATCCAAAGCCCGGACAACCTTGGGGACCAGAATGACCCTTGTGTGCCTGAACAATAAAAATTAAGTTCTAGCCGAAACCGGTTTGGCTCAGCGGTAGAGCGTCGGTCTGCGGACTGAAAGGTCGCAGGTTCGATTCTGGTCAGGGGCATGTACATTGGTTGCGGGCACATCCCTGGTAGGGGGTGTGCAAGAGGCAGCTGGTTGGTGTTTCTCTCTCATAGACGTTTCTAGCTCTCTCTCTCTCTCCCTTCCTCTCTGTAAAAAATCAATAAAAATATATTTTTTTAAAAAAATTAAGTTCTAATTCACCCTGGCTGGTTTGGCTCAGAGGACAGAGCGTCAGCCAATGGACCCAAGGGCACCGGGTAAATTCTGGCCAAGGGCACGTACCTCGGTCACAGGATCCTCCGCAGCTCGAGCCCTGGTCGGGGGTGTGCAGGAGGCAGCCAATTGATGTGATTCTCTCACATCGTTATTTCTCTCTGTCTTTCCTTCTCTCTTCCACTCTCTCTAAATATCAATGGAAAAAATATCCTCAGGTGAGGATTAAAAATAAATGAAATTTGTGGTTTTTCCTTTTAAAGTTCTAATTAAGTTTGGGCTCAGCAAATAATGGCAGTCTGACAGCCTGTCAATCATATCTGTGTATTCACCTATGTAGCTCTTCCTCCTTCTTACCATGGCACAGATACTAAAGTAGCTAAAACGATGCTACTCCAACAGAATAAAGAAGGCAATTAGTTACTTACCAGGTAAAAGGGGATCCACCAGGAACTGCAGAATTTGCTAAGAACCCTGCAAAGATCTGTTGTATTATTCTGTTGTAAAAGAAAAATTTAAGTTAGACAACAGACTACTCAAAGTACTCTACAAATATCTACGGCTGACCAAACCCACCAACCCCTTCTCCAAGCCACTATGGCTTTTTACTATTATCTATATGCTAGAGGCCCAGTGCATGAAATTCATACACTATGGAGGGGTGGGGGGATTTGTCCCTCAGCCGGGCCTGCACACTCTCACAGTCCGGGAGCCCTCGGGGGATGTCCAACTGATGGCTTAGGTCCACTCCCCACAAAAAGCAGGCCTCAGCTGGCAGTCGGACATCCTTAGAGCTGCTGCAGAAGCAGGAGCAGCTCATGCCATAGCCACTGCGCTTGCCAGCCATGAGCTGCGCACCCCCTGTAGAACTGCTAAGACCAGCAGGGGGCAGCTCCTGCGTTGAGTGTCTGCCCCCTGGTGGTCAATGTGCATCATATTAGGTCTAGTAATAATTAATGTCGTTTTCTAATATTATACTTTTTAAAATTGAATTTATTTAAACAATACAACAAAATTTAATCAACAATATAGTTGCCGTTGTTTTCTACTACTTGTGCCCAACGCTCAGGAAGCATTTTAATCCCTCTGTTGTAAAATTCTTGTGATTTTGATGCAAAAAATTCGGTCAATGCATTTTTGAGGCATTCTTCATTATTAAATTTTTTTCCAAGAAGAAAGTTTTGCAAAGAATGAAACAAATGGTAATCGGAAGGGGCAATTATCAGGAGAATATGCAGGTTGAGGGAGAACTTCCCATTCCAACTGGCGCAGTTTTTCAGCAGTGATTCTTGCAGTATGCGGTCGTGCGTTCTCGTGGTGAAGAATTACGCCCTTCCGATTAATCAGCGTGGGTTCTTTTTCTCTTAAAGCTTGGGCTAACCTTTCCAATTGGGCACTATACACTGCACTTGTAATGGTTTGGTTAGATGGTAAAAGTTCATAATGAAGAATTCCTTTAAAATTCCACCAAACACACAACATCACTTTTTTCGCATGCAAGTCAGGTTTTGGCGTGGGCTGCGGAGCCTCATTTTTGTCCAACCATTGAGGCCGCCTTTTCAAATTAACATACAGCACCCATTGTTTATCTCCGGTAACAATTTGCTCTAAAAATGGCAAACGGTTTTAACGAGAGAGGAGCGAACTGCAAATTGTGACTCTTTGATTACGGTTGTTGTCGGTCAACTCATGAGGAACCCATTTTCCAAACTTTTGGACTTTGCCAAGTGCACGCAATTGATTGGAAATTGTTTTTTGTGAACAATTTAAAGTTGTCGCAAGCTCTTGTTGGGTAATTTGAGGATTTTGCACCAAAAGAGCTTGAAGAGCTTCTTGATCAAAATTGGACACACGGCTTCGACCACTCTTGTCATCTAACAAAAAATTTCCCTCGCGAAATTTCTCAAACCAACGCTGGCATTTTCTGGCGCTAACTGCATCTTGACCAAGAGCACTACAGATGTTTTTTGCAGCCTCACTTGCTTTTCTTCCTAATTGGAACTCGTAAAGCATGCAGTGCCGAATATGCTCTTCATCCGCCATCTTCTTAGCCCTAGTTTTGCAACAAAAACCAAACCAAACACAAACTTTTTCAAGCAAAACTTGTTAATTGCACTTCACACGTTCTGTAGATACCACATGTTTGAAGGTTATGTCAATACAAGTCAACGCCAAGCAAGATTTTAAACGAATGTTTAAAAACGACATTAATTATTACTAGACCCGATATCTAATGACTGTTCTGCTGTTAGGTCGATTTGCATATTAGCCTTTTATTATAAAAGATATGTATTACCTATAGACACAATAGTGGTGAAGGCCTGGGGTGGGGTGGGATCCAGGTGGAGGGGCACAATAGAGGGGGATGTGGGTCATCTGTAATGTAATGTAACTCTCAAGAAAGATTTTAAAAATTTTTTTATCAGAGGTCCTTCCAGCAGAGCCTTTAGGACCCAATGGTGAGAAATGGGTGATATGCCTAATGCCCTAACTGTCAAGAGAGCCTTAGAAAGTAACACCTGGCCGAAACCAGTTTGGCTCAGTGGATAGAGCATCAGCCTGCAGACTAAAAGGTCCCAGGTTCGATTCCAGTCAAGGGCATGTACCTTGGTTGCGGGCACATCCCCATTGGAGGGGGGTGAGGAGGGGTGTGCAGGAGGCAGCTGATCGATGTTTCTCTCTCATCTGATGTTTCTAACTCTCTATCCCTCTCCCTTCCTTTCTGTAAAAAATCAATAAAATATATTTTTAAAAAGAAAAGAAAAGAAAGTAACATCTGGCATTTTCTGATCTTATAGCAGAACACAGTTTTTACTTGGCAAGAAAGATGAGTGGAGAAAAAAACTACTGAATAGTCAGTAATGTTTACTTATACAGGTAATAATATGAAGCTTCTTTTCATAGTATGCCTAAGGTAAAAAAAAAACACAAAAAAACAGGTAGGTGCCGAGACCGGTTTGGCTCAATGGATAGAGCGTTGGCTTGGGGACTGAGAGGTCCCGGGTTCGATTCCGGTCAAGGGCATGTACCTTGGTTGCGGGCATATCCCCAGTAGGGGGTGTGCAAGAGGCAGCTGATCGATGACTCTCTCTCATCGATGTTTCTAACTCTCTATCTCTCTCCCTACCTCTCTGAACAAAATCAATAAAATATATATTTTTTAAAAACAAACAAAACAAAAAAACAGGTAGGCCTATTTAATGAAAACATTACATAATAATGTTGATAGAGAGGGAAAAATTTGAGACAGTATTTAAATGTCTAAAATGTGAAAAACACTGATTTAGAGCCAAAATAACTGAGTTCATAACAAGGGGGTAAAGGGGGAGGTGCCCGTGTTTAATATGTTTTACAAGTGATGAGATTAAATACTCAGAAGATTCCTGAGACATTTTTAAATATAAATGTTAACCCTATCCTACAATTAATCTAAGTTAACGTGCCAGTTATTCTATTAGCTTAAGTAGCTAATAAAATACCTAAACAGCAGACACTGGGTGGCTGTCCCCAAATCACTCAACACTCTTCTCCCTTGACACCCACTACTAAACACACACTCTCCCAGCTCTTTACAGCAGGGGCTGGGGAGCATGTGACAAAGTACCCAGTGAGTACAATTTTCTTGGCAGGTGACATAGAGGGGGCGTGGAAAGGTGGAAAAGATTTTCCTTTCCTTAAAAAAATAAAGGATAAATAAGCTCGTGCTATTGTTTCCCTTTTCTTCTAGCCTGAGCCCCTAAGGAAGCATGAGGGAAAGACCAAGAGAACCACAGAGATTCTATAATAGCACGGCTCAGACACTGAACTAACCTGCTGCCAGCTACCTACAGATTTGTTTAATCTAAGCAAAAAATTCTTGTTTAAGCCACCGTTAAATCGGGTTTTATGTTACTTCCATGGTACTAAGGAATGATATCTGTAAAGGACATCTGAGGAAAGGCAGCTTACATCTTTCTCCCACTCTGCTGTTAGTCAAATGGACAATGTAGCAATAGGCTAGATCACAATTTCCTATGAAATAAAAAGGCAAAGCAAACCAAGGAGTACTGATTCAAGCTAATATGTCCATACTGATATTTTATTAGTCTGACAAGAAATTTTTGAGCAACAAGATTTTAAAATTTGACCCCTGACTATTTGAACTGTATGTGGCCCAGCTCAAGAGCAAGGTGAAAACAGTGTATTCAGCCTAGTACCTGAACCATTCTAAGCACTTCATAAAGGTTAGTTAGCTTCTCCTGCTCTCTCACATTGCAGACAGGATGTAAGGCCACCTAAGGGAATTCATATTGTGTTTTTAAGCAGTATTCATTCAGTAAAAAACAACAAATTAGGATAATTCTTTCCATTCTTATTTGGCAACTATATATAAAATATATATATATATATATATATATGTGTGTGTGTGTATATATATTTCCTTGAAAGTACTCTATTTACATTAAAGGAAACTCACAGAAACTATACAGACCAGAAATTATCAGCTAATAGAGAAACATGAGCTGATTACTTTACCCTGATGCCCCAAATCTCTATTAATGTAGAGCACATGTGTCAAACACAAGGCCCGCGGGCCAAATCCGTCCCGCCAGGCCTTGCAATGTGGCCCGCACCGCGCTGTCATCACTGCACTCCGCTGCGTTCCCATCACAATGACAGTTTATGACTGTTCAGTAAACCATTCGGCCCGCGATTTAGGCTGGATTTTAGATTTTGGCCCCTTCTCTGATTGAGTTTGACACCCCTAATGTAGAGGGTGTGAGCTGCCTAAAATGCCTAGATCCTCCCAGCTGGTGTGGCTCAGTAGTTGAGTGTCAAGCTATAAACCAGGAGTTTGTGACTGATTCTCTGTCAGGGCACATGCCCAGGTTGCAGGCTCAATCCCCATTGGGGGGCCTGTAGAAGGAGGCAGCCGATTAATGATTCTCTCTCATCACTGATACTTCTATTTCTCTCTCTTCCTTCTTCTCTGAAATCAATTTAAAAGTATTTTTTTAATGAGTAATAATTAAAACAAAATCCATGAGCCCACACTAAAACAAAGAGGTCAACAAACAAATAAGGGAGGACAGGGAGAAGACAAAAACTTTTTTACAAAATATTAACTATTACTTACAGAAGAAATCACAGAAATGGAAAAATTATTTTATATCTATTATAATATTAATTCAGGTAGGAATTATTAATTACAAAAGAGAAGGGGTAAAAAGAAAGAATACCTTTATTAAAAATATTTGGCAGATACTACCTTAACCAAATGGTCAAACTTAACATCAGCTTAAACAAGCTGATATCTTGTGTCCCTTAGTTGTACTGATACATTGAGAAGAGTACATCATTTACGTGGTGTTCTTTCCCAGATATTTAACCTGAATTAAGAAACTATCAAACAAACCCAAATAAACAGACATCTTAAAAAAAAAAAAAAAAAAAAAAAAAAAAAGCCTTGATTCCTAAGACTAAGGAGGGTCATGTGTGGGTCAGGTGACAGCATCAACTAGAACTCTAGTCACCAGCTAGCATTAACATGTAATACATGTAAGCAAATACGCCTGCAGATGATTCCAGTCCTTTGGTCCTAGACATAATACAGCTGAGACAAACTGTCTCCCCATTTTCTATCCAAATTTCTGACCCAAACCCAAAGAAACTGTGAGAGAGAATCCACAATTCAAATCACCCAGTTTTAGACTAGTTTCTTATGCAATAACAGACTAATACAGATTCTAATAAGGCAGAATCTCAGTTTCTAAATTGGGTATGAAGTGTTACCTCCAATTAAAATCAGAAATTTTTTTTAAAATGACCAGATTTGGAAGAAAAGTTTAGGTTCCATCTTCCTGAGTTTGGAATATCTATGGAATATCCAGATGGAAATGTCTAAAAAGAGGATATATATTCAAGTCTTAAAAGGTAAAGACAGAAATACAGAGTGGGTCTTTAGTGGCTAGGTAATTGTCGGAACTACCGGAGCGCCTGAGGACGGCGGAGCTTACAGAGAGAGCAGCAGGTCTCCTCCGGGGACATGACTTGCTCACCCAGGGCAGTGTCTGGGGGGTGGGGTGAGATGTGGTTCCTGCATGTAGTAAAGGAAGGGCCACTGATGCTGCTAAACACTACCATGTACAGTTGGCTCCATACAATGAATTACCCAGCCCAAAATGCCAACAGTCCCGAAGTTAAGAAAGCCATTGCAGCATAAGAGGAAAAGCAGAATAAAGGAAGCATCTTGGGAAACAAGTATTTAGAAAGTATCCACAAGAAGAAAGTCAGAGGAAGAGGTAAATTTTAAAAACTTAATACCATGGAAGTCAGAAGTAGAGAATTTCAAGAGGGGGGAAAAAGATCAAAATTACTGAATTTAGTGAATTAGGCCCACACAATAAAAATTTTAAGTAGCCACTGAGTTTATATCTAGAAGGTCACCATGGATTTTAGTGAGAGGAGGGCCAGATTATAGGAGTATAGGAATAATGAGAGATGAGAAATTTGTATTGAAAAGGTAAGGAAATGAGATTGGGTAGTAACTAAAGTAGTAGTTTTCAACTTTGGCTACAATCAGAATAACCTCAGGAGATTTAAAAAATGACCCATGCCACCTTAGCCACTTTGGCTCAGGAGATAGAGCATCCGCCTGTGGACTGAAGGGTCCTGGGTTCAATTCCGTCCACGGCACATGCCTGGAATTGTGGGCTCCATCCCCAATAGAGGGTGTGTAGGAGGCAGCCCATCGATGATCTTCTCTCATCACTGATGTTTCTATCGCTCTCTCCCTCTTCCCTTCCTCTCTGAAATTAATTTTTAAAAATGTAAAATATCAATGCCTGGACCACATGCAAAGTAATTATATCAAAATCCTGGGGAGAAGTATCCGTGCTTTTTAACATATCTTCAGTGACACAAATGCACAGCCAAAATTAAAAGCCACAGAGTTAAAGTGTGTGTGGTCGGGGAAGGGGGAACGAGAAAGGGAACTATGACTGGGCAAGGGCCATTTAAGAAAAAGAAGGGAGGAAGCAGGGAGAAATTTAAAAAATAAAATCCCAGAGTAAGTCAGAGGAATAGATAAAAAATATGGGCTGATGGAGTTGCTTTCAAAAAAGAAAAACGGAACACCTCACCTGAAGAGACTGGAGGGAGAGATAAATATTGGTATAGAATAAGCTGGACAGAGGAATTTAGGGAATTTATGCCTAAGACCCCAATTTTCGTAATGAAATACAAGTCAGCTGCTGAAATCAGCTACTGGATAGGAAATGTGGAGAGTGAAATATTTGGTGAGGGAAATAAAAAACTAACCCAAAGCGCTGACTGCCTAAGGGGGAGCAAACGCACTGAGCAGCTGCAGGGGCAACAACAGGCTCCTTTATGGTCCCCCAGCCGCTCTCAGCCGTTTTCCCTGGTGGAGGAGCGAGGGAAGTGGCCTGACAACACCAGTCCAAAACTGGCGGCACTGCGGGTGTGAGAACACGTGCACTGGAGGGAAAGTTTACAGGAGCTGTAGTTGAGGAATGCAACAGTGGGCTCTATCGCAGGTGAGAAGGGAGAGTAACCTACAGGCATGTAACTGTAATCTATAGGCAATGTAACTAGGACACAGATTTACCACTAATCACGGAAGTTATTAAAAACAGTCTAACATTCCATTGGCCTTTGTCCTAGACCAGTGGTCAGCAAACTGTGGCTCACGAGCCAGTTTGCCGCTCTGTTGACTGAGTTTGCTGACCACTAACCTAGACTCTCATTTCCAATAATTACAGGCTTGTGTTGTTCCTTGTAATTAATCCCCTATCCCAGCGATCGGCAAAGTCATTAGTCAACAGAATGGCAAACCGAGGCTCGCGAGCTGAATGTGGCTCAAGAGCCGCAGTTTGCAGACCACTGTCCTAGACAATCCCGTTAAATTGGATTTCCATATCCTATCGTTGTCCCTAAGAAATGTCTACAAATAAAATTTGAAATTCACAAAACATATGAAAACTAAAGAACAAATAGATGGACCGATATGGGATAAAGCTAGAATAATAAAATGTTAATAGTAAAGTCTAGAAGGTGAGTGCCTGGAGCAAGTGTAGGCTCAGAAGAGCACTGCCCAAACAGCAGTCTGAGGTGACAGAATGCTCTATAATCTGTGCTGTGAAAATAGCAACCACGCACTAGCTCTCTGTTGCTACAGAGCCCTTGAAATATGCTAGTGTGACCGAGGAATTTTAAGTTAACTTTAATGCAAACTGATATAACCACATGTGGCTAGTGGCTGTTGTATCAGCTAATGCAGTTCTAGACTGAGATATCCCTGGGTTCAAGTCCTGGATCTACCACTGATCCCGTTTTCATTTCTCTGAGTCTTATTACGTAAAATGAGAATAATAATAGCAGCTACTAATTCAAAAGGATTAAATGAAATAAGCAGATAAAGCATGAACACAATCCTATGCATAAGGAAAATATTTTTAAAAAGTGTTCATGGTCCCTAGTAAATGGGATCCATGAGATAAGGAGCCACACGCATGGTGTTTTGCTCACATGTATCCCGTGTCTAGTACAAATGCTGTAGCATGAAAGACTCAATAGACATTTGTTGCGTGACTGTTTTTGGCAGTCACAAGTCTCTACGTTTATTCCTATTAAATTTCATATCAAGTCCATTGCTTTAATCTGCTGAGGTCTTTCTGAATCCTAATGTCATCTGATATATTTGATATCCCTTTTCATTAGCTTCTGAATTTTTGATAGACCTATATTAATCTGAGACATTATTAAAAATGTTAACCAGAGACCTATATCATTAGTTTTATTACCCTTTAGCTATTCATCATTCGTTTGTGGTACGAATTGAGTATAGACATTCATTTAGCTTCATTTTTACTCTGTCTATAGTCCTCCATCTTGTCCCCAAAGGTAGTAAGTATGAGAACCTGATAAAGATTAGATTAAGGCTATATGTCTTTCATTGAAACTGCCCTTAAAAAACTTAAAACAACAACTGTGCACTCACCCTTCAATTGCTGGGGATCTGTCAGGACGGGTGCTTCCCTGCTGTCTGTATCGCCGAGTCATCGGCAGCCGTGGAGGTCGACTTGGTCCCCAGAAGTCAGTGTGAGTTTGGTGACCTCTCTCATTGGCTCTATTGTCTTGGTCCAGTGCACTGCTACTTAGAAACGGTCTAAAGTCTTGTATAATCATCGTGTGGTCCAAATTGCGCCAGAACTAATAAAAACAGAAATAAACTACATTATAGTTTTAAGAATAGGAAAAAGAAGAAACAGAAGAAGAAATATTGAAAAAAGAAATGAATAATTTTTATACTTCAAAATTCAGCAGCTCAAACTAAGGTATAGGTTTCCCCCAAATTTTATGAAGAGAAGTTTTTCAAGTGCCTGAATAGAGAATGGGGGAAACTTATATACTGTGAAATTTATTTCCTTCATATAGAAACAATAGGCCAATGACTGAACTCCTTTCTGAACAATGAGCTCATATCCACATGCCTCTAACCAGTTACACCCCCTTCTGAAATAAAAGCATGAGACAAAGGTGATCATACACTTTTGTCCTCTGCACAGTCAATCATTTAGATCAACATTATAATTCTATGTTTTAATGACATCCACATTTTCACTACAGGATAATCTAAGATTTGAATAAAACAGATGTATTTACACACTTATAATAAAGCACCATCAGCCCTAGCTGGTTTGGCTCAGTGACAGAGAATCAACCCGCAGACTGAAGGGTCCTAGGTTCCATTCTGGTCAAGGGCATGTACCTCGGTTGCAGGCTCCTTCCAGCCCAGGCCCTGGAGGCAACCAATCGATGTGTCTCTCTCATATCAATATTTCTGTCTTTCCTTCTCTCTTCCACTCTCTCTAAAATTAATGGGGGGGGGGGAAATATCCTCGGGTGAGAATAAAACAAACAAAAAAGCACCATCACCACAAAGTGGAGACAGATATCTATAAAATACTTCTCTTGACCTAGACACTGCATCAGAAAGGGGTAGTGTCAAAGCTGTGTTAAAGCAGTGCAGGAATGTCTGATAAGACCATTCTTGTAAATACTGTTATTATTAAAAGGGTGTTGGTGGTGGCCGCGAGGTATGTGCGGGGTAGGTGCCTGTTGGGTTTGACCAAAGAATCACTAAACAAAGAGTGAATGAAAAACAAATCATTTCTAAAATAATTTAAACTTTATCTGTACACCAGATATTTTGAGAGTTCCACACTACTTACTTTACTCCAACCAAGTACATAACCCCAGTCATATTCAGGTCTCTTTGTTTTGTTTTAAACGTTTAAATGAAACAAACAAACAAAATCAATATCCTATATAATCCTATATAATAAAAGACTAATACGACGTATAAGACGACTGGGGCGTATAAGACGGCCCCCTAATTTTACAGTTAAAACATAGGTTTAGGCCTATATTTGCTGTATAAGACTACCCCCCACTTCCGAGGCAACACCAGTTCTTTTTTTATAGACTGTCTCTCTGACTCTGGCCAATCTGAGCCGGCTTTTTTTCGTTTCAAAAGTCGTCTTATAGGCTGGAAAATACGGTATGTAAATAGACCAAACGGGAGAACAACCAAACAACTAGTCACTATGATGTGTACTAACCACTAGGGAGCATGCATGGAACATGGAGGGCGTCGGCAGCAGAGGGCATTGGCTGTGGCGGGATGATGGAGCAGGTGAGCAGGGGCATCAGACCAAGGAAGGGTGCTGGTCACCGTCATCGGGGCAAGCCTCTGGTACTAAAAATTCTTTGCTCCCACACACTGCAGACCCATCCAGCATTCACATCTGATGCTGGTCCTGGACCCACTCGCATCTGCAGCTGGCCCTGCTCGCACCCACAGTGGACGCCAGAGCCGCTGCTTGCACCTGCTGCTGGCAACCACTCGGCACTGTCAGCAGGTGTGAGCAGCGGCTGCTGGCCCGATCGCCCAAGGGCTTCTTCACATCCCCCTGCTCCTGAGGGGTGATCAGGGCAGCAGCCACAGCCACTCACACCTGCTGCTGCTGTTGGCCCTAATCACTACACACGGGTCTGGTGGCAGCAGGAGCGGGGCTGATGGCAGACAGGTGACGGGGGGGGGGGGGGGGGGGGGGGGGGGGGGGGATGCCACGCACACATCAAGAGGGGCCAGGTGCAGGCGTGGATATGGGCCAAGAGCCACCCCTGTGCCCACCACAGCCTCATAGCACACAATTCCTTCCAAGGTGTACAAATTCGTGCACTTGGCCCCTAGTATAGATAATAATAGGGACAAAAACTGCTCAGCACATGATGTTAGGTCTGCAGGTGTTCATAGCCCTCAATACCAGACTGACCCTAACATCTGGAGATCCATACTTAGCATGCTATTTTTTGCTTTTTTCCCAGTTTACCATTTGCTTATTTTTCAAGAGACTTCCTCCAATATAATTTAAAAATACACAATGTGTCACACAAAGTGCAATATATCCTCTATTCACTCAGACGTGACCAACCCCTACCCACAATTCTACTCACCTACTGGCAGTTTAATTTGGTGTGTAGAATGCCAGATCTTTAAATATATATTTGTGTATATATACATACTAGGTTTTGTAACACAAACACAGATTCATTCATTCACTTAACAAATGCTTGTTGAGCATGTACTATGTCCCAATCACATTTTGGGAACTATTAGAATATAGCAGTGAACATTTTTAGAAAACAAAAAACCTCAGCCCGGCCCATGTGAGTGTCAACCTATGAACCAGGAGGTCACAGTTCGATTCCTGGTCAGGGCGTATGCCCAGATTGCAGGCTTGATCTCCAGGAGAGGGCATGCAGGAGGCAGCCAATTAATGATTCTCATCATTGATGTTTCTCTCTCTCCCTATCTCTTCCTTCCTCTGAAATCAATAAAAATGTCAAAACAAAGCAAAACCTTCTGCCCAATGGATTTCTTGTTCAAGTGGGGAGAGACATACATGCTCCTAGCCTCCAAAGAAAGGAAAAGAAAACTCTGTATGTTAGATAGTAATACATGTTATGGAGGGGGAAAGGTCTGCATTGACTCAGAACACACATACTCAGATTATTCTTTTCAACAATAGCATAGCATACGTGTTATATGTTTTATATTCTTAACATTTTTACTATTTGGTACATGTAAAATAACATCATAGATGAGGTATTAAGAAAATAAATAGGTAACTGCAGCACCTGCTTTTCCCCACAATCACATCAAAAGTACAACTCAAGTACAGAACAACCATTGCTCAGAACTGCCTAAAATCTAGCTGAACAAAAGTTCTACAACGCAGGATACAAAGAAGCCATACTAAGACGGGTAGGAGGGGCACAGACACAGAATGAGCTGGTGCCACAACCATGGCGGTGGTTAAAAACCAGCAGGGAAATCTGGCTGTGGAGAAACTCCCTGAGGAGCAAGAACCCAGGCTCCACACTCTGCTCCCAGGCCAGGGTTTCAGTGCCAGGAAGATAAGTTCCGGTAACTTCTGACAGTAAAACACCCAGCAGATTATAAAGAACTGTAGCCTACCAGCAGATATCCAAATGTAAAAATCCAGCAAACATGATTTTGAATAATTTAACATTCAAACCTAACCCAGCAAGCATTACACAAAAGTCACAATTCAAAATTGCCAATTAATGAACTTATTTTGTTTCCAAAAGTTATTTCTTAGAACACCAAGCTCGGGGTCTGCATAAAGTATGACATAAAAATAAAAATAAACCAGCAGAGATTGTGACTGAGAGAGATGTAGGGCTGCTAGAGTCCCAGGTGTTCCTCTTAAAGGGTCCTCATGAACTTACTTGGACTCACTCACTGAGCTCCCAGCTGGGGCAGCAGCTCGAAAGATGCCAGTGACATATGGTGAAGAACTGAATTGTCCAGCAAGAGTTGGAGAGGCGGCTTTCTCCAAGGCAGAAGTACAGGCAGAGAATATTGTTTCTTTGCTAAATCCTCCCCAATGAAGCCGTCAGATGGTCATTATATCCAAGTCTCCATCAACCAGGTTAAAAGGGTTCCTAGTGCTGACAATTCTCTGAAACTGCGCCACACCCACATGCAGGCCCACCCCAGCCATATAAATGGCCTATCTTGGCTCATACTTGGAACTTTCCAAAAATCTATGCAAGGTTCACAAAACTCAAGGAGCATCTGGCTTCAGCGTGGCCCCTACCTCTTGCTAAGCGGCCCCTGGCACAGCATTAGTGGCAACTGGCTATAGTTTGCTTGCAGCTTAGTTCTCTGGACATCTTCAAGGCCAGCAAGTTAGCAGCCATCTGGAAATGGCTTTGTTGCTCATGCCTGGTGGCCCAGACAGGGCACTGGTAGTGGATGATTTGGCCTACTCCCCCAGGGAAGCCCCAGAGCTAGTGCTTCCAGCTTCACATCATGTCGAAGCACCACACAAACACCTCATGAGCAACACACTTAAGGATGAACTTGGCAGGTTCCTGGGTCCCAATGATGTGAGCTCTGTTCCATGGGATTGACCTCTGACAGCAGATCCTCCACCGTGGTCTCGGTCAGACCTAGCAACCAATGGACAGTGTAAGGAGCCTCTGGGACAACTTCGGGCATACTAACATTTGTGTCATGGGGATGCCAGAAGGAGATGAGAGGGAGCAAGGAATTGAAAACTTACATGAAAAAACAATGACAGGAACCTTCCCCAACCTGGTGAAAGAAACAAACAAGTCCAGGAAGTGCAGAAAATCACAAAGAAGATGAACCCCGAGGGACATATCAAGCAACACACATCAAAGTGATGGAAAGCAAGAACCTACAACCAAGGTTGTAGCTTTACTACTCAGTAAAACTATCATTAGAATCAAAGGACAAAGAGCTTCTTCCTGAACAAGATAAAGCAAAAGAAGTTCATCACCACCAATCCAGTACTACGAGAAATGTTAAAGGCTCTTGAAGAAAGAAGATAAAATATCTACCTAATAAAAGAGTAACATGCTAACCGTACCTTTTGCGACACCCACCAGCCACTGTCCTCATCCATAGGTGTACGATTTTTGTTCAATCTCTTCCTGCACCCACAATCTTCTTCCTCCTCTCCACCCCCCCACGAGAATTGTCAGTCCACTCTCTTTCTATGCCCCTGATTCTATTATATTCACCAGTTCATTCTGTTCATCAGACTTTTTACTCACCTGATTTTTTAATTCACTTGTTGATAGATATGTAT